AGGCTGGAGAGGTGGGCGGGGAAGAACCTCCTGAAGTTCAACAAAGGCAAGTGCAAGGTCCTGCACCTGGGGAGAAACAACCCCAGGCAGCAGGACAGGCTGGGGGTTGACCTGCTGGAAAGCAGCTCTGCAGAGAAGGGCCTGGGAGTTCCAATGGACAACAAGTTGACCAAAAGCCAGCAATGTGCCCTGGTGGCCAAGAAGGCCAATGGGGTGCCCTGGGGTGCATTAGGCAGAGTGTTGGCAGCAGGGGGAGGGAGGTGATGCTGCCCCTCTCCTCAGCCCTGGGGAGGCCTCCCCTGGAGTCCTGTGTCCAATTCTGGGCTCCCCAGGACAAGAAAGACATGGCACTACGCGGAGGGCTACCAAGATGATTAGAGGGCTGGAGCACCTCTCCTCTGAAGAAAGGCTGCGAGAGCTGGACCTGTTCAGCCTGGAGAAGAGAAGACTGAGGGGGGATCTGATCAATGTGTATAAGTATCTGAAGGGGGGGTGTCAAGAGGATGAGGCCAGTCTCTTGTCCGTAGTGCCCAGCAACAGGACAAGAGGCAACGAGTAGAAACGTAACCACAGGAAGTTCCACCTAAACTTGGGGAAAAACTTCTTGACTGTGAGGGTGACAGAGCAGTGGCACAGGTTGCCCAGAGAGGTAGTGGAGTCTCCTTTGCTGGAGATATTCAAAACCCGTCTGGATGCGATCCTGGGCTATGTGTTCTAGGTGACCCTGCTTGAGCAGGGGGGATGGACTAGGTGATCTCCAGAGGTCCCTTCCAACCTAAACAATTCTGTGATTCTGTGATTCTGTGATCACTGTGAGCAAAGGGAGCTCCTTGCATACCCAGCCACAGTCTCAAATATGTCTCTGAAGCTGGAGCAACCTAGACCTGAAATTTGGCAGCTGATCCTGGGAATCTGCAATTGCCAGTGAGCAGTTTTGGGGAGTCAGCACCTTAGTTCAGTTTGGAGGATGCTCCCGAGCTGGAGTGGAGATCCGGGGTCCCTAGGGTTCAGGGTCTCCTCTCGGGCCACGAAGCCATCTCAGATGAAAAGCTGAGTAGCGTCTAATATGAGAAGTGCGGAGGTTACTGTTTTCAGTCTGCACCCGCTCTGGAAACTAAGGTGTTTATTAGGGAGCTAGGGAAAAGAGAGTCATATTTTCCCGTGCTGCAGAGGAGCTGCCTCCTACAGAAAAACTGCATTCATTCAGCACCTTCTTCACCAGGATCTCAAAGCTCTGTCTGTTCCTTGCTACTCCCACATGGCATTTCTCACAGGGATGTGGGCGAAAATAGTCACAGTGCAGTGCCCCTGTATGTGATGTGGATTTGATAGGAACGTTTTGACTGTAAACTTTTTGTGGGAAATAGCGTGTGCTCCTTTCCCTCAGTTTTTCATAAAATAATGCTGTGGAAATAAAGATGTTCCTAGGAGCATTGCGCATGTCATTTTATTATTCATCATCACTGACTGAAGTGTGCAATCAGCACAGAGCGCACAGGATCTATTAATCACCTGTTTCCATGGCTCAGGACGGCTACCAGAAAGCTCAGACTTCTTCACACTCCCTGTCCCTCAAAATCCGGATGTCTTGCCTAGTTTTCCTAAAATAACGTAAGAAAAAGAAAGCAAGAGTTTGAAAAAATATTCCATGAGTCACACTTACGTCTCCCACCTCGCCCACAGAATGAAGCTGATTATTCCAAATTTATTTTTTCCATTTTTCTGTCTGAAAAAGTGGGACAGCTGCAAGCCATCTTGGCACAGGGATGTTCCCCTCCCTGGGTGTACGGGCACCTCAGCAGTGCTGGTGGGAGGTCTCCAGCACAAACTGCTCACAGCTGAGCTGTCCCCAGCCCGGGGGCTGTCTGAGCCCAGACAGCCCCAGGATGGAGACCCCCAACCTCCCTGGGGCCCCATCCCAGGGCTGCACCACCTCCTGGGCAAGGAGTTTCCCCAAGGGCCAAACATGAACCTCTCAGTTTGGCCCTATCCTGTTCACAGCTGCCCTTGCAGCAGACGTTGCTGCTGCTCGATCCCCTTCACCTCCCCTGGCCAGACCAGGCACGCGCAGCCCCCACAGCTCTCCTCACAGACCAGTGCCACCGGTCTTGGTAGCTCTTTATTAGCCCCTCTCCAGTTTCCCCACATCCCTCTTGAACTGGGGGGGCCACGAGTGGCACAGTGTCCTGGGTGTGCAGTGCCAAGCAGAGGCAATACTGGCCACACTTCTCCTCATGCAGCCTGGCACACAGTTTGCCTTATCTGCAGTGCAAGTACACTGCTGACCTGTGTTCAACCTGACGTTCACCCTAGGTCCTTAACAGCACGTCCTCTGCTCAGATAGTCACTTCCTAGCCTGGATGGATGCAGCGGGTAATCCTGCCCCAGGGCACAACTGGTACTTCTCCTTACTGAACCTCACGAGGTCCTTGCTGCCCCAGTCCTCAAATTTACGGTGGCCCCTCTGGATTGACGCTCTGCCAAGAGAGCCGGGAGGCACATAACTGGGACCTGCAGTCATAGTGATCTCTTCAGAGGAATTAGCGGTGCTCTTTGACTGTCCAGATTAGATGCCTAGTTTACCCTTTTGCATGATTAAATTGAACCCTCTAACCAGAGGCAGCACAGATGGGGGCACCTTCTCTTGCCTTGTCCAAAGCCTTTGGTTTGCTGCCAGTTTGCAGGCGCTCACCCTGGAAGCTCTCCTGGCCACGGACTCCTACCCCCATCTTTTGGATATCCTGATCATGTGGCCACAGGCTGAGCTGACTTAGCAAGCTTATCGAATGCGTAAATACTCAGCTCTTTTACAGGAGTGGTCGTCTACCCATGCAATGAGCTAAACCACTCAATCTCCAGCTGCACGGTAGTAAAATCTGATGCCAAGAAGGGGCAAGAACCTGCAGTGAAGGGGAGGGTGTACAGCCCGGTCTACCCGTGGGCACTGCCTGGCACATGAGGGCAAAGCTCATGGGCTTTGCAGACTGGCATCAGGCTTGGTAGATGTGAAAGTGCCCTCTTTCACTTTGCTAGCAGGGACATGCATGCTTCCCACGTGCTGTGGCTTTGTCAGTGAGCGCAGAGGGAGTCTGAACGACTGCATCTGGGCAGGACCCAGCTTCGGCCAGCCACATTTAGACCCCGGGAAGTCTGCCGCGGGCATGGGCTTACCTTTGCTGCACACAGAGCAAGCATTCGTTGGCATAGGTGTTCCCATCGGTCCCACAGACAGGCATGTACAGCAAGGGGCATGCCTCCAGATCAACCATGTCCGCACAGCGGGGCTGGAAAGGAGTTACCATAGCAACCACTTTAGCGCCACAGCATCCGCCTCGGCTAGGCACAGCATTTGGCTCCTTTTGACTCCTGAGAACAGCCTCTGTCCCAGGCACGCCGGGCACTGAGGCAGCTAAGACTCATCTCAAGCCATGAACAAGAGAAAAGAGAAACCTCTTACCCTTCTCAGGCTATTCCCTTCATTCAGCTCTGCCCCTGAAACAGAGCAGAGTCCATGAATTTGATGCAAGGGATTTAAAGCAACATCTGTGACCAGCCTTTCCAGAGAGAAACAGTGGCAGGAGCATGAGGCATCGACACAGGATAATGTCCAAACCAGAGGGAAGGCAGAGCTGTGCAGAGCACATTTAGGGCCCGTCCTGAGGAGCAGCTGTGTGGATTTCCTGAGGGGGAGATCAGTATGTTGCACGCCACCCCCGTCCTCCCAGCAGCGAAGTGCACAGCCTCCTCCTGGCTTGGCTGAGTCGGTGCACAAAGGTGCAAATGCCCGTTCCCATCCCCCAAATCCTCTCTCCCAATAACCCTCCCTCCCCGTTTTTGGACCAGGAGCTCCACAGAGCGTTGAACATCTCCCAGAAAGTGTATATAGGTGCAGTGCTGCATGGGGACAAGTAACATGTGCGATGGGCTGAGGCTGGGTCACTCCACACAGCCTGGCAACTGGCATCGCTAGTAGGAGCTGCATTTGGTGAGTTCATTTCCTGCCCTGTCCCTAGCCAGACAGAGCAGTAGCAATTATTCGCAAACCTTGTACACATGACCCTGGGAGCGCACGAAAGTCCTGGGAGCCAGAGGGGCCATGCGCAGACTGCTGTGGAACCATCTCTCTGTGCACCTAGGTAGCATCAATTTTCCAGAGCCTGCCACACAGCTACCTCCTATCTGAATGTGCTAAGTATGGCGTCCTCTTGCAAAGCCAAGCGTGTCTTCCTGGAGACAGGAGCAGCAGTAGCTGCCACCCCAATGTACGCTGTAGCCTATATAAGCTGTCTCTCCCAGATCCTGGTTCCCATCCTTGCTGTGCTCGCTCTCCCTCCACCCATCCTCCAAGTGCAATATGGCCTATGAACTAGCCTGCAACCCTTGCCCCGAACTGCTAATAAAGCGTGGTGTGTTTACTCTAGTCCTTCTTTTCCCCACCCTCTGCTCTGCCTGTGTGTCCATTCACCCCTCTCTCCTCAGTTTCCCCACACAGACAGGGACATCTCCTTCCCGATAGGCTGAGGAGCACCAAGCGTCCCTCTCCCAGCACAACAGCACTCAAGCCCTGCGTTTACCTGCTTTGCCTCCCCCAGGACTTCATAACCCCTGATGGTACTCCCCCTCTAGTCTCCTTCTCTTCAAACTGGAGTTTCCACCTATGTCTACTCTCTGTCTCATATTTGGTCCCTCCGGGCTCTAAAACTGCCTCGGAAG